ATAAAGCAATTGGTTACCAGCTTAACAATTGGACTGAATGGAAGACAAGCTTAAAAAGCGAATTTGGTAAAAGACTGACGTTGAGAATGTGGTGTGACAGAGTGAAAGAAAGAGAACAAAGACAAGATGAGAGTCTCACAGATTATTTCTATGCTAAGCTGTGTTTATTGCATACCAACTGTCCTGTAAATGTTACTGAAGCTGACGAAATTGATTATTTGCTGGACGGAATAAAAAATAAACAATACACAGTTACCATTGTTACTCATGATGTGCACAGTATTGCTGAACTACAACGTATAGCACGCAAGATAGATGAGCAAGAGACTGAGGCCAGGATGCATATGAAGACTCAAGTTCAACAACCTCATAAGTTCTCAAATAATACTAATGCTCGAGTAAAGGATCCGGCTATTGCAGTTGATTTTATTAAACGTACAGACGAGAAGTCAATAAGAAGAGACCCCAAGTGGAATGCTCAGATGCCTTTACAAATTACTCGATGTTACAAATGTCAACAGTTAGGACATCTAGCCAAGACATGTCCAAATGAAAATATTGCACAGACCAATGAATATAAAGCTGAAAGAGAAGTCTCAAAAGAGATTAAAGACAGCAAGAAAAAAAACAAAAGAACAATGCTCTAAACATCAATGCTAACGCTTGTAAAGTTCATAGCCCATATATTAATGTTGAAGTGTCAATGATAGGAAAGATAAGAGCCCTTGTTAATACAGGTTCATGTCGTACAATAATTCGTCGGGATCAATTACCTGATGGTATAAGGATGTTAGATGACAACACCACTGAGTTCACTGGCTTTGGCATGACAAAGGTGAAACCAATTGGATTTGTTGATCTACCTATTCGGTTGCAAGGCCAAGTCACCACAGTGAAAACGGCCGTGTTCGAGAACAACGCAGTTCCTTTGACTTTGGGAATACATTGGATTGGCCAAGCAGGAGTGAAAGTGATATTGAAGAAAGATAAATGTGAAATAGTCACAAGAGATGGTAATGTGATTGCAGCACAACCTCCCATTGAAGAAGCAATACAAGAATCATGCTTGTTACTTCCTAGTGCTGTAGCAATACATACAACGGAGAGTAAGACTACGTTTGAAGACCAATGGAACTATCATTCCCAACCCGAGGAATGTGACGAACTATCAAATCCAGAGGAATTCATACTTCAAAGTACAGAGAGCCAGGAATCAATGTTAAATGAAGAACAAAGGAAGAAAATTGAACTGTTAATTAGATAATATGACAGTATATTGCAAAATGAACCGGGAGAATATAATAGAGTTCATCATCGTATAGAATTGACAGACAAAACACCAGTAAGGAAAACACCATACCATTATTCTTGGAGTGATTGAGAATTTATTAATGAAAAAATAAAGGAAATGCTTTCATTAAACATTATACGAAGGTCAAATTCACAGTATGCATCTCCAGTCGTATTAGCCAAACAACTTCACCATGTTACGAAAAAAATACGACTTTGTATTGATTATCGGGACCTGAATAGCAAGACAAAACAAGACTCATTTCCATTACAAAGAATAGATGATATTCTAGATAAGTTACATAATGCCAAATATTTTTCGTCTCTTGACCTTAAGTGGTTACTGGCAAATTCCGATGGCAGAAGAAGATATACATAAGACAGCGTTTATTACAGCAGACGGATTGTACGAGTTTAACAAAATGCCGTTTGGATTATGTAACGCTCCAGCCACTTTTCAGAGGGCGATGTCAGAATTATTTCAAGGACAAGAAGGGATAGTACTTTACCTAGATGACATCATTTTGTTTCCATCAGATTACGAACACCAGAAGAAATTAATCAAAACAGTACTAACAATATTAGCAAAAGCTCATTTAAGGATATCACCACAGAAATGCCAATGAGGATTAAGAGAAATTTTTTGTTTGGTATACCTAATGAATGGAGATGGTAAACGACCGAATCTAAAGAAAACAGAGGCTGTTAGTCACATAAAAACACCTACGACCAAGAAACAGTTACCATCTTTCCTGGGACTTATGTCGTACTACAGGAGGTTTATTCCAAACTATGCCTTGATTTCAGCACCATTAAGACAAATGATGAAAGTAAACAGTCATGAATGGAACGAAGAAGCTCAAGATAGCTTTAAAAGATTAATTCAATGTCGGATTGAAGCACCTATACCTGCCCACTTTGACCCTGATGCTGTAACTGAGGTACACACTGATGCCTGTCAAGAAGGCATCGCAGCAGTACTTATGCAGGTACAAAATGGAAAGAAAGTTGTTGTTGAGCATGCAAGTCAAAGTACCAGTGATACAGAACGCATTCTTCATTCGACCGAGCTCGAAGGGGTCGCAGTACACTGGGCCATCTGTGAAAGATTTCGATATTATTTGATTGGAAAGAAATTTATCCTATACACTAATAACTGGGCAATCGGTTGTTTGAAAACTAAAAGAAAACTTGGACGAAAACTCGCTCGCATAGCTTTACAGTTACAGGAATATGAATATGATGTTAAGCATAAGAAAGAAGCTACAAACAAAAATAACTGTTACTAGTGTCTCTAGAAGATAGAGAAGAATGTTAAACAAAAGCTATTGTTTTGTCTAAAAGCAGTCGTAGCCGAGATGTAAGAAGTTTTTATAAAGAAATTCTGCGAGGAGAAGAAAAAAAAAGGAGGTGGCACTAGTTGTTTTTTTGATAAGACAAAGCAGAAAGATGGCTGCCTAGTCTTTGTACATATTTAATTATTATAATTAAAGTTAGTTCAGTAGTTTTTACCATTGCCTTTGACTTATTTCGAACAATTGTACACTCCATAAACACGAGTCGTACAATAATGTTAAATGTCATGTAAAAGCTACCCAAAACTTGAATGGGTTTAAATTTTGTTTGAAGGGTGAACAAACGAAACTTTTTATTGGGCAAACATGGGAAAACGGTTGGCAAACGAATGTCATAAATTATTTCGAAAAACGCAATTGAAGTGATATTACGTAAAACTGCCCAAAATTTGAAAGGGCTATAATTTTTTTTTGACGGACTGATAAATAAATTGCATTAAAAAACGCAAGTGGAGATGCCAACTTCACAGACGTAAAAATTCAACAAATCAATGTTTTGACATAAATTGGTATACCATTCGGTAATCTGTTTGTCAGAATAAAAGACAAATAAAATATCCACATTAATATCTATACAAAAAATTTAAGGTACATTCGTATAAAAAGATTTATTAGAAATTTTTTATATCTATTTTCACTCAATAGTTACAACTATAAAACAGGATCTTAAATGTTGGTAATAATATTGGATTACTGACTTGTTTACAAATTGATTAAAACAAAGTGTTTTCCCAATTGAAGCTGTATGTTAGAAGAAAGTACAATTCAAAAATCACAGTCTAAATGAAAAACTATCACAACTCGCTCAAAGTGCGAATACTGAATGATATCAACGCACCAACTTCTCACTTTCGTTCAAAAACGCGAAAATCTAAAAACGAAAGGAACTGTGGAAAACATTTGTAACGCACCATACAAAAAAAGGGGGTTACATAATGTTAGGGTTCAAGTACCAGGCCTGGATTTTTAAACTGAAAAGCAGTAATAATAATAATAATAATAATAATAATAATAATTTAACAACCACATATAAGTAACAGTTTACAATGAATATAATTTTTATTATATTGAAATAATAAAAAACAATTGGTTAATTGTACCACTAGTTAACTAATTGAATATTTGACAAATTTACTAAATAACAAAAAGAATCAACAATTACTCAAAAAATCATACTTCATATAATATCAAATCCAAAAATTTCACCTCCACCTCATAAAGAGACATACATCAAAGTATACAGCTTATGCTAATCGCTTCTCAGAGACGCGTCTAAATCGTTCGTCAACCAGGAGCTACATCACCAGCTGTATTGGATGTGCTTTCTTTTATCCAATGTTCAGTGTAGCTCCGCAATGTCCTAATTTACATGATTTTGCGTTACAGGATCAGTCACTAATGCAAACTAAGTCTGCCTTTTTTGACTTTGTTACATGTGCTTAGGAGTTTGTCCTTAAATAAAAAAGACCCCCGGAAAGAAAATAACTAACTAAAAATAATGTCGAAAAACATAAAATAACGGTCGTACATTGACTCCTTTACAAGTTCTTATTCCTCAAAAGGCGACAGTTATGTGCGCTGCTATATCGTTATAAATCGTCAAATATAACACTTTATAAGAAAAAGTTTTTAAAATCGATATTACATTTTAATTCAGTCATTTGCAACAACATCACAAATAACTGTATTTTTGGTGTATGTTTTTAATTAACTAATAACATTTGTAATTTCAAACAACAAATTTTATTAATTACAAACGAAAAATTGTGGAGAGCAAATGAAATGAAACCGTAAAAATAACGATTTAAATTTTGTGATTTTTAAACAAATTTTTTTTTTTATTTTACTTTTCGCGTATGTTTTTAATTAACTAATAAAATTTGTAATTTCAAACAACAAATTTTATTAATTACAAAAAAAAAATTGTGGAGAGCAAACGAAATGAAACCGTGAAAACGACGATTTTAATTTTGTGATTTTTAATCAAATTTTTCTTTATTTACTTTTCGCGATAAAATTTTTCATGTTTTGAATAGCAAGTAACGACATTTGCATTTGAAATTAGTTATTTTGAAAAACATTCATATATGCATTTATTTAAAAATAGATAATAAATTTCATAAAAATATTTAATTCTTTTATTGATGGCGAATTTATCTATAGGTAGAGGTGAACTATGTTCTCGTTATATTTTTAGAGTGAAAATTATTATACTGTACCGTTATAAATTAAAATAGGTAATTTAGTAGTAATAATTCATAATCAATAAATATTTTTGGCATATTTGTAAAAGTAAAATTTTTTTCTAACTTCAGTTTATATTTAAATATTACTGAATTCATTATAACTTTTTAGATCTCTGCAAAAGTAATCAGACTGTAATTGATAAATGCAGAAAAGAAAATAAGACATGTATTCCTACTACAAGAGATCCATATTTTAAGTGTGATCAGTGCTTGCCAGGATTTAAAGAGAGTGGAGATGATGATAACCATTGCATTGGTGAGAAACAAAATCTGTTTGAAAATAATAACTGTGAAAACATTTTAAATATCAAATTAGAAATAACAATGATATTATAATATAAATTACATTATGATAAATAATATTAAGTTATAGCTTATTTAAATAATGTAGCAATAGAAATGACTTTTTACTTTTAAAATGCAGTGATTATTTTTTAAATTTTATTATTATTAACTACAAAAAATTTATAAAAAGAAGTATTTCATTGTAATTAATACATAATGATGTTAGACTATTGGCAAATAAACGATTATGAAGTCACTTAACTTTTTGATATTTTAAATTTTATATTTTTACATTTATTGCTACAACATTTACAAGTTTTGATTATTTCTGATTAGATTATTGTGAAAAAAACGAAGCAGGATATAAGAGCTGCTCTGAAATCAATAGAGTATGCGAATTTTCTAAAGAAGAACCATTTTTTCGATGCACAGATTGTTTGAAAGGTTTCAAAGCAGATGATAATAATTGTGTCCGTGAGTAGATTTTTAACTCTTAGAAATTATTTATAAAAGTAATGTTAATTATATACTTTCTTACATACACGTACAGTGGAACCTCGGTATACGTCTGCTTTAGAATACGTCCAATTCGGAATACGTCCTGTTTAGACGAAACAAATTTTGCTCGGTATACGACTTAATTCAATTATACGCGCCATCTATGAACAAGTTGCACTATCGGTGTACTACACCAGACTATAGCGGCCGGATGGCAGTCTACCGTTCAGGGGAACCCGGGTTCGAATCTATACGGGTCGAAAAAACCCCAGGAATTTTTCGGGGGTGGTCTGTTCAGATATGTCGCGCCCCTTCTCTCACCACCCGGCAAACCCCATTGTGAGCCTGGCCGAACCCATAATGGGCTTGCAAAAAGAGGCCCTCTTAGTGTCCACAGGGTGGAAAGAGTTAAAAAAAAAACACCAGACTAGACGTTCGCGGTGCAGTTTATAACTTCGTTAAATTTGTTTTGATGTTAATTTTTAAGTAAAATTTTATTATTCTTATTAATCATGAATTGCAAAAAGGCAACAGAAAAATAAAAAAATGACTAGAATCACAACNAACCATAAAAAATGTATAAAAAGTTTTTCATTGTAATTAATACATAATGATGTTAGACTATTGGCAAATAAACGATTATGAAGTCACTTAACTTTCTAATTTTTTAAATGTGATATTTTTACATTTAATGCTACAACATTTACAAGTTTTGATTATTTCTGATTAGATTATTGTGAAAAAAACGAAACAGGATATAAGAACTGCTTTAAAAGCAATAGATTATGCGAATTTTCTAAAGAAGAACCATTTTTTCGATGTACAGATTGTTTGAAAGGTTTCAAAGAGGATGGTGATAATTGTGTCCGTGAGTAAATTTTTAACTGTTAGAAATTATTCATAAAAGTAATGTTAAGTATATACTTTCTTACATACAAGTACATACTATATTTGAAAATATATGGTAGTCCACTTAAATATCTGTTCAGGAGCAAAAAGAGATTTTTCCAGCATTTCAAGTGTGTACGCTATTGATGCATGTTCGTTTCAAGTGCTGAAATAATAACCGAAAACATTTTAATTTAGCAGGATATGCAAACATTTTCTCACTGTAAAGGATACGAAACAACATTACAGAAATGTAGACAAAAAATGAGTTTATTTTGTTACAGAAATATTGAAAACGACCGCCTTCAATATGAATGAAAAAAATGTACAGGTTGAACATGGTTGAGTATAGATGGCATGTAGCATTCTTGCTACAGCGATTTCACAGACGTCTCGTACAGTGTTGCCGTTCCTAGTACATTTGTACTTTTCTGGTACATTTTGCCCTTTCCAATAAATTGAAAGTACATTTAGATTTTTAGTACATTTTCAGTACATTATAATATTTCAAGTACCATTTACGGTACAAAATAATATTTCACGCCTTTAACGAAAAAATGAGAAAAAATGAGTTTAATAAAGTCTCACTAGTATCACTGCTTGCTAATTTAAATTATCCAATCACAACATACAAATGGTGTGTGTCCGTCGACGTCAGCAACATAGATAGTTGCACGTGTAAACGGTCTTGACTCAGTGGTCTTCTTTCACACATTCAGTTGTCAGCACATTCTCATCAAGACCTTGACAAAATTTTTATGCCACGTGGTCCAAACAATTTAACTCCGTCAAACAAAAAGAATGGACAGGTAAAGAAATCAATGATTTTAAGCTTTTGTCGTCAATAATATCAAAATATCCGTTAAGTCAGAATCATATTATTACAGAAAAAATTTTTAT